AATGACTTTTTAGGTAGATCTGAGTCCGAATAACGTATCATACCGACATCTGGTAGGAGATGAGTCGATAAAGAGTTCTAAATGCAAGTACTCAGTTATGAGTGTCTGATGTGGTTCTTATATAGAGCTAAAAGTGTGGGTTTGAAGAGCTGTATATACAGTGAAAACTAACTGAGGTATATAATATATTGTAATGTCGATTGTACTTCAACTGCTTGATCTTTCCTTACCCAGATGATACCTGAATTTTTGATTTACTTTAAACTGGTGCTAACACGTGCTAGGTATTACATTAGATTGCAAAGCCTATCTCCACAAAAAAGCGGGGATGGGAATGTGAATTGTTGAAGCCATTTGTATGAAAAAAGATTCCAAAGAAGTAGAACTGTATATATTTCCAATCCTGGAAATATATTCCTGTTGAGTAAAAGATCTAGGAAATTGACTTTTTAAAGGGAAGAACATAGGAAAGGAGGATTCTGCCTTTACCAAAGGGAAATAGAGGTGATGTAGGCAACTGCTTCTCTGCCTACTCTGCTATGCCCTGTAGAACTCAGCTTTAGAGACAGCACCGAGAAGGTGGGGATCACTGCTTGAGCTGGTTTCTTAATTCAAAACCTAAAGACACTTCTCAGTCATTGCCTGACTGATAGGAAGAACCGTGTTATGTGTCAGATATAATGTAAAGAATCATTATTATTATTTTTTTTTTCCTGTTTATTAGCTAGTTTCCATGGCTGCAGTAAAAAGTTTTCCTTTAGCTCTGCATAACATTTCCAACATTGCCCACAGTAATAAACCTAGAGCATTTATCTAGAGATACTGAACTGAGCCAAGGAGTGTGATTTGTCTCCTCCAGAGCCCCTCCAAAGAAGCAGCAGTCCTAGATAGGTTTGTCAGCACAATGACTCTCGGGAATCTGCAAACCTGTGTGCTTAGGAGAAATAGTTCACTTTTCTAGGAACTCCTAATTTCCTGCATGTAGTTTGTCTAAGACACTGTCTAATGCTTCCAGGTCAGGGCCACTTCCAGAGAAAACTGCATTACATTAAAAAGTACCTTTATGTGCAGAAAAATTCTTCATAGTCATTGGATCTGCTTCATATATCTGTATCTGCAAAATAATTTTTTAACTTAGATGTGAAGAATTTAGTGATAGAAACCAAATCTGAGGAAACTCTTGACTTCCAGATCACTGCTTGAGCTAATTATATTAGAAAAAAAAAATTTAATGTAAACTGATCCAAACAAGGTACAGTTTTGTAGAAGGTTTGCAAAGTATGTTTTGTGTCAAATATAAGTATGGAAGAACTTTATATTATTTCTAAGCCTTCTTAAAAAATATAGCCCTTATTCTAATAAAGGAGCTAAATCATGTGATCTGTATGGCCGTTACCACTGATTTAATACATGGGATTTAAGGCAAAGTTTTGTAGGAATTATTTTTTTTCTGCAGGAAGCATGACTCCAGAATCTGAGAACTCTTCCCTAATTTCCCATTTGTTCCTGTGCCAATTTGAGAGTTGTCTATTTCAGAAACTTTCTTACTCTATCTGAAGGAAAAACATGATAACAATAGTTACCATAGATAAATAGACATGACTACAAGCTAAATAAAGCTGTTAAATATGGAAGTGCTGAAGAATGGAATCCACTACTGAGTGGACCCTGCAATTGAGACAGCACCTGGATGTGGTGGTTGCTCCCAGTCTATGACTGCTAAGAAAAAAAACCCACTAAATTTCAAGTGGAAAAAACAGGAGACTGTTGATGATGGCATTTGTCATGGAAAGGAACATAGACGTGACCCATTTTAATCAAGGCTGCCAGTGGAATTCTCAGATGTGTTCAAATGTGGGATTCACTGTCTCTTTAGTACAAATGCTCTTTACAGCTCTATGCTCCAAAAATGCCATAGATTCTGTTGGGTTGTCTTAATAGGTCATCCATAATGACTGAAAAAACTGGACCTCTTAAGTCTTTTTCTCAACAAGGAAATGTACTTTGCTTTAAGGAAGCTTAGTTGCTTTCTTATTTAAGGCATCTGGAAGACAATACTATAAACAATGTTTCTGCAAAGTACTTTCCCCCCCCCCCCAATTGGTGGCGGGTGAGCTCGGATAGGAAAAATTTAGAGGTGTCTAAAAACAAATTAACATGATCAGTAATAGCGGTGAGGGGATTTTATGTGAAAAAATGAAGTGAATCATTCAGGAAGTTGATGCTATTGTCTGTAATATTTCTCTTTTACTACATGAGCTGTTGCAAGATACATAAAGAGCTCTGAAACTGTTTCAGAAGTTTTGAAAATGCTCAGAAGTCTATAAATTCTATTCTGAATTGGGCAAACTTGCTTGAGCTACTAGAGCCATCATTCATGTTTTTAGTGACATGATAGAATTAATTTATTGTTGCTGTGTGACATTGTAATAGCACTATTAAATAGTGACCAGCTGCAATGCTAAAAGGTATTTCATTGTGTCTTAAAATGTAACAGAGTTACATATGCTCTGAAGTCAGATTTATACAAACTATACTTTAAGGCAAGAACTTGTAAAAGGATTTAGATATCCTTGCTGGGGTAAAGAATTTAGAATTCATTTCATGATAAGCTAATAGAATTAATATTAGTGTTTGTTTGTTGTTTTGTTTTGTTTTCCCTAGCCAGGTGATTCTCAGATAATTGAAATCATCTTAGGGCAAATTATTTCACAGGAACGTCTAAAGGTGGCAGTCACTTTAACATTCAAAAGCAATTGAGTTGGTACACAGTGAAATTCCTCATATGGACTTTTGTCCCCCAGGACAGAACTGGAATAGGTCAGATTGTTAGTTTTCTGTAAACTGGATGGGATAATTTAGATTCCATATGCCTTTTCTTACTCTTTTTTTATTTCCTTGTCAAGCAACTAGAATGTTTTTGTGCTAGTTATAAAGTAGAAATTGAAGTTACTGTAGCAATAAAAGCCTCATTTCATCCTAGTTTTCATATTTTTCATTATTCTCAGAAGAATGGAAATCTTTAACTTAGTAAAACTGAATACAGTCCTTCCTTTTTAACATTCAGACCAGAGGCTGAAGACAGTAAACATTTGGTTTCATATTCTAAAAGTTTATGCTCTTGGGATTTACTTCATTTGTATAGCGGGCTGTTTTAAAGTTAAGCTCTCAGTGCCCTTCTGAAGAAGTGCTATTCATCAAACTGCATCTTTTAGGAAACTTACCTGTGTTTCAATTGTTTTGGAAGGAATGCTATATTATTCTTACTTGGATGGTTTGGCAATCTTCAGAACTGCTAAGAAGGAGACTTAAGTCTATTTCTTGAAAATTTTAGTTTTTTTTTTTTATGAAATTTAGCAGTTCCAAAGCATTTTGAGCTATTCTTTGTGTAATTGCATGGTACTGTGAAATTTCTGCAACTAGTATTATGCTTTGTTTCAGGGTAATGTTCAGTATGGAATATGATATACTTACAAGATTTAATTGTCTGTCCTGCCTGAACACAAAATGTGTTCCAAGCACCAGTTAAACTTTACGATAGTGTGCAAAACCTAAGATTTATGGCATGTTGTCTGAGAACCTGTTCATGTTAAGAACATCCCATGAAATATTTTCCACCGTAACTAATACTGGTCCAGCTCTCATCGTATCACTCCAGCAGACAGTGATTATATGGGCTGTTGAATCCTCTTCAAATACATTGCTGCACGATCCTGCTGGATTTAATTGCTAGAGTTACTGACAGTAATGGCAGCTCCTGATGTGCTTAGATGATAGTTCTCAGTGTAGCATCTGTTTGTGGATAAGAAGAAATTATACCTATATATATACAGGCAGAGAGACACTGAAGTGTTTCATCTTAATAGGTTAATAATTTTGTATTGTGGTTATTTTTGGGTGTATATCAAACCAGACTTTTCAATGTATTATACAATTTTTTTTTAAATTGTAAGAATTGTCATGAGTCTAGGGCAAGCAGACAGATCACTGATACCTCTTTAAGTACAAGTCAGAGGTGAGGAAGATAATTCAAGTTTCTCACATCCACTGTTAGAGGGAACAAAAAGTTATTGTTTGGGAAGATAAGACTGTGTAAAAGAAAGCAAATTTAGCAGTTCTGACAGTTCTCACTATATAGAATCATTAATTAAGTGGGTAGCATGGACTGGATATCTGTTTTGGGCAGGGTAATAACACCACGGTTTGATTATTTTTTTTTTTAATTGTAAATATGTAGTAATTATGACTCTTATAAATTATATAATGCCATTTGTAACAATTTATTTGAAAGGAAGAAGGATGGGAAAATATATTCTATGATTATACAACAGCAATTGACTTATGATCATACAATATCTAGAGTATCAGGGAGAAAATGCTGGTATTGAGAAACTAGAAAAGAAATATTTTTAATTGGTGCCTGTAGTGCAGCCCTTGCTATTTACTGCTCAGACACAGCTTTGAGACTTACCCGTGGCTTTCCTTGCTTTTGCAGTTTCTCAAATTATTGGTTTGCTAGTTCAGAAAATACTTTGTGAAGGTGTTGCAAAAGCATTTCAATAAATGGCTGGTTGTCTGTTCATACCACATAATATTGGTGTATTTTAGTGAAGTGGAAGAAATCATTATGGTTTAGATCCTGTCAGAATTTAAAAAACTCACACTTCTAATAGTTAAAACCAAGAAATAACTTTATTATTGGAGAAAAAAGAGGAATAGTTCTGCCTCAGAGCTCTTTGGAGGGATGGGGGGAGCAGGACTTGATGCCTGTGGAGAACAAAAACTGACATAAATAGATGGTTTAAAAAGCTATGACATATGTCACTTTGTGGTGCCTACTTGGATTTCTCCTGAGAACTTGTAGAAACATGGTAAATTGAAATAAAACAAAAAGTCTCAAATTATATTTGTTGTGGCTCCATGCTCACTTTGTAGATACCAAGTTAAGTAGTCAGCGGGTTTATTTCTGACAATGAGAATCTTTTTCTATTCTTTGACAGCCACGAGCTGTCGCTGGTTTTCGAGGAACAGTACGATATGCGTCAATCAATGCTCATAGAAACAGAGTGAGTATCTCATCTATATCATATGCATCTCACGTAGCTGAAAGCAGTCAGTAATGCAGTTGCTATTGATTTCCTTTTTTGTATTTTTATGTGTGTATTTGTTATGTAGAAATGAATACTTAGAAATTTTGGTAAAGGGTAATATACTTTGCAGTAGTTGAGGATAAAAAAGTTTTTGCTGTACAAATAGTAGTGGTTTTAATAGTTACCTTTGGTGTTCAATTGTACTGTAACTTATTAAATCAAAAAAGTCAAGTTACCGAGTTCTATAAAATAGATAATGTCCAGTATATCGTCTTAACATAATATACTAAAGAAATCTGAATAAACAGCTTTTCCAGTATAGAGATTTGCAGTGTTATTTTAACACACTTCAATGTCTGTTTTGTTTCCCTGTATCTTCTATGGAAATTTACTTTTATGTTTCTACTTAAAGTAGTTGAAAATAGTTGCTGGATTTAATTATACAAACTTGTTTTGCAGCATTGACTATATTAATTTTTATATATGATAATTTACATCTCCAGAGCAGTAAAGAATGTATCTTCCCTTTTGTCTTCTAGATATTTATAAGATGCACTAGAATAATATTTATTTTTCACAGGAAATGGGTCGACATGATGACCTCTGGTCCCTGTTCTACATGTTGGTGGAATTTGTGGTTGGGCAACTGCCTTGGAGAAAAATAAAAGATAAGGTAAACCGAGAAGTGAAACTAAAGAGCATGAGGGAGATTTACTTCTGGATTTCATGTGAATGCTGTGATAAGGATTCCACTAAGAATCACTGGTTCATTAATTTTAACATTACATTTTCCAGTGTTTTCTACTGTTAGTTCTCATTGCTAGCGTCACGGTATAAAAATCAATCAAGTTTTACGAACTGTTTTAGGCAGGAAGCAAATTTTGCTTCTAATTTGCAAATGTTTTAAAAGGTAAAAGTAAGTGTATATATGCCACTTATTGCATTTTCCTTTTGTCACTTGAGCACTTTTTGATTTCACCTATTACATATTTAGAATTTCTTATCTATTTTGATTATTTATGAAATGGTCATTTCTTATTTGCATGTGAACAAAAGTGATTCAGTCAATATGCAGTAGTGCCTTCAGTCATATATCATAGGTGAGGTATGCGAAAGAACAACATCTGATTAACCTATTATTACTTCTTTCAACTTCTTCTGATATTAGATTGAAACAAGGTTACTCTCTGATGTGGTTTATGCATTGGTAGATGACAATGTGATATATAGGTAGCATCTCTTTTTTGGTTTTGATTTACTCACCTTAGACTAAAGAAGATTTACTAATCTTATGCAGTATATTGTGATGACCAAATATGCACCAAAAATTGACTGAACTTGAGATGATGCAACAGGACATTCAAATCTTTAAAACATGCTTTTTTAGAAGGGTTGGAGCATCCAATGACAGTCCTTGATATCAGGCAGCATTCAAACACAGCTGAAAATTAAATGACTTTTCATATTGAATTTGAAATTTGTACATTATTTTGCATGTGTACTGAGGACAATGACAGAATCTCTTACCTTGCTATCTGATGTCAAATGGCCTTCCTCAGTACTGTTCAGTGTAACGTACTTACCCATCTTTCTGGCCAGCTGTAAGATACGAGGTGAATATGTTATAGCAGAGAGTGAAGGCGTGCTAATGTTTGTTGTGTTATTTACTCCTAGGAGCAAGTGGGCTCCATTAAAGAAAGGTATGAGCACAGACTTATGTTGAAACATCTTCCTCAAGAATTCAATGTCTTTCTGGATCACATTTCTAATTTAGATTACTTTACAAAGCCTGATTACCAGGTAAGCATTTCTGATTTTTAAATAGCAGAATTTTATGCTTGTTCATCTTCCATTTAGTTTGATTTCATTGTGTAGTCTTGGTAGTGATTATGGATTATGCCACCACAAAGTTATTTTAATGACTTTCTTAGTACCACAGAAACTTTGCAGTTCAAAGATGTAATTTTTTTTTCTCATTTGGGAAGAGCAGGGAAGTTAAGTTTCTAAAAACAATTGACAGTTGCTTTGCAGTTAGTATTCTGTTAGGATCAGGTGCTATCCTACTATCATAGCTTCTAGTGGGTGCTCCTTAAATTAAATCAATCAGATTGTTCTCTCAGTGATAGTTATTCTGGCAGTTTTCCAAAATCTGGAGCTCAGCACCAACTATATACAGCTAGAGCACAACATGCAACTATGGTGGGTTTTTAAGACTGAAGTATTGCCTACAGAGATCACCAGAAAACTAGTCATTTTATTTTGTTTAAGAGAGCATTGCCTCCTGAAATGGGCAGGTGCAGCTTGGTGATAAGGTGATGGGTGCTGAGAGCATGTGTTGTAGAATATGTTTTATTCTCTCAGTGTTGACTCATGATTTATCAATAAATAGAACTCAAAGATCAGACTTTGTTCTATACCACTATGTAGAAGGCAGCAGAGGAATGCTCAGGAAAAGCAGGGGGGGAGACACTAAGAGTTTTTTCAGTCTCACAGCCTGTGGGAGAAGTTGAACTGATCTAACATCGCACCACAACAAGTTGTCCCTGTGTGCCTTCCCTTTGGCTCCCAGAAACACACATTCCTGTCAGCTTCCCACTAGCATTACCTGTCTGCCCCCATGCATTCGTTCAACTCACTAACTCAGCAAACCCAGAAGGAATGGGGTTTTTTATTTTTTTCTTCTGTGGCAAAAATTACTGATTGCAGCTATTGTGATATCGCATAGAAAAACCTTCATTGTAGGCTGGTAAATACGTTTTATTTACATTATATATCCTGAATGATGAAATGGGTACACAGGCATATTTTTGCAAAACTGTTTTCCACGGTCTACTTGTATCTAGCACAGCACGTGCACTCAGGGATTGACATGATACCACAACAGAGTTTCTCCATGATAGAGACAGCCCCGTAATTTACAGTCTTCTGGTTGATCATGGAACATTTGCAGTTGTGTAGCTGCAGCCTAAACCTTCCAGCATGGTCTTGCTCTTGTGCTTTTATTTAGAGCAGTGAGAAAGTGCTTTACTTTCCATGGTTATTTAAGCTCTGGTCTCTCAACTAGTAGTTACTGTTAGCAATGCTATTCATACCTTCGATACGTATCATTCTTTGCTTGTATTTAAGGTTAGGCACTGAACAAGAGTGTACATGGTCAAGATCCCTGCTTTGAAGAGTTTACAGTCTAAGTTCACGACATAGGCCCAGAATCCATGTTTGATTTGGCAATTCCAGATATTTTTATTTTATTCAGGTATTTATGTACATATAGGCTCAGTCTCCTGACATCATTAACCATTTGAATTTGTATTTGCATTATAGCAGAAATTGTAGAAAAGATTTGAAGGAGAATGACCTTAAAAATTACTTCAGAGACTGCTTAAGGTTTGCAGGAAGAGGAGAATAAAGGAGAGTACGCATGGGACAGAGAGTAACCTGTGGCTTTGTGCAGTTCAGTAGGTTTTCAGAGCTGACTGGGATAGATGGCACACTGAAGGTTCTTGAGAGTAAGGATAAAATGGATACAGTCACTTTATACAAGAAAAATGATCAAAACTTCCCATCCGTTTTAAGTTGCCAAATGGTATGTGTTTTTAAAGGAGGCCAGAGAAATATCTTCAGCATCTTACACTGGAGAAAAGAATGAAAAGTAAAGTTTTAGCATAAATAAATAAATAAATGACTACAATTTTAGAAATGTTACAGAGGAAGAGATGAAGTGATACAGACACAGCCTTCCCACCAGTGACTAGAATGAGACAAAGTTTTCTCCCTGGGAGAGGAAAGTACATGCAATTTCTTCCTCTGTCATGGACAGAACTTGTTCTAGATGCTTTTTCGTGGCATAAAATGAGGGTGAGAAGCTTCCTGTGTGACATTTCTGTGGGATGAATGCCAGCATTAGATAAAGTAGCTGATACGTGGTTCCAAATGACAGAAATGTATGAATTAGCAGATCAATATCCTTCCCTATGTACTCCTCATTAATTGGTTTCTAATGGTGTTACTGAATATATTCTTTTGTCTTCCTCTGTGGGAGAGCCATTGGATGCTATTCTGCAACAATGCAGTCATGCCTCTCTCTTTCTGTCTTTTTATGGAAACCTATGGTGTATCTTTGCCTCTCTTTACTGATAAAAACACAGATGTGGTGTTTTGTTTTTTTTTTTTTTTTCCCCAAGTAAAACAGAATTTTGCATATCTTGACTTTGAAACCTTGGAAAATGAGAGATGGTTAATATAAAGAAGTGTGTCCTTTTTTTGGAAACTTTTTGTCAGTCAAAATCTTAGAGAGACATGTTAATGTATTACAGGAGGATATTTCTTAATTGCTTGGTCTCTTAGACAAAAATGAAGCTTATTAATTTTTTTCTTAATTTTTAGCTTCTCATGTCTGTGTTTGACAACAGCATGAAAACATTTGGGGTTATTGAAAGTGACCCTTTTGACTGGGAGAAGAGTGGAACTGATGGCTCTCTGACAACAACAACAACTTCAACCACGCCTCAGTTACACACTCGTCTTACTCCAGCTGCAATTGGGTATGTGTACACATTGTGGTCACTTAAAAAGCAGACGCGGAGTACCAAAGGGAAATTATCTCCATAATTTAGTTTTTTTCTGCAGGATATTGAATAAATAGAGGAATGGAGGTTTGGGAGCATTTGAAATATTTCCCTTGTTAGGGTTCCTGTTTATACTATCCTTGTAAGATCAGCGCTGCAGTCCTAAATTTAGAGCAATAAAAAATAGTAGCTCAGGAAATTGTATGCAAATTTGCTAGTCCATCCTTTGCTAAATCATATTTTGTAAAACTAAATGAAGTGTCCTGAATTTAACTGCCTGGAAATAAACCCGTTGTTTTCTGTAAGGTTGGAATAAGCTACTAGCTGCAATTTCCTTATAACTTTGAAAAATGAATAGATCTTTATAGGAAATTTGGAAAAAGATTTTGGTCATGTTTAAAATAATATTGAATATGGTATTTGAGACCTTCTGGAATTAAGTTGGATGAGATGTGATGTTTAATAATAGCCATACTCATCTCAGGGGATTGGAGAATATAAGAGGTGTTTATGGGTGAGGAGGAAGACTGTGCCCATTCTAGGCCTTGAGTAGATCACTTTTTATCTAAGAGTCACAATGGTAGTGACATGGGAGTTTTGACAGTGTAGTGAGGCTGAAAAAGCCAGAATTTCATGTTGAATATATTAATATATTACATTCCCAATATTTCAAAGTAATTAAAAAACCAAAAAGGTTAAAATAAATGTCAGTCGACATTAACTGGTGTTAATCTTACACAGATGTACAGTGTGCACTGTTGAACACACTGAAGTTGACAGAGATTTTGCATATGATTCAGTCCCATTATCATACGAAGCATCACACTGGAGTTACTGATAGCCTTGGCTGCAGTTAACAGTTTTGATGACTGTAAAGGAATGACTTTTAATTGACCTTCTGACTGTTCACTTTTTAGGTATAACATTGCTTCAGCTTCAGGTACTGAGCTAAGCCTTAGCCCTCTTTAGCCCCAAGTCAATGGGACTACAGAACTTCAGTTAAAACGTAATGTCATATTAGCATTATGTTTATGTTTTGATTATGAATAGTTGGACCAAAATAGCATTTTGATAAGAATAGTGATTAACCTCACACAGTATGTTTTGTTATTCTATCAAATTTTGGGGAAAAGGATATTATGAAAGTTGCCATTCATTTTTTTTTTAATAGAAAGATTGTGTGGACAAATCAGGAGCAAAGTTGAGCCTGGACATGATCTCTAACAAATTTTCTTGGAAGTTGTGTCAAAAACATTAAAAAAACCCCAGCTTTCAAGTGACTGTTTTTTGATTTACACCTTTTGTTATGTTCCTTAATTAAAGAAACATAAATTGTGAAAGCCAAGAAGTAGGAGGTTTTATATTAAATAATTTACAAGATTTAGTTTTCCACAGAAGCATGCTTTTGCTTGTAATTTTTTCGTTGTTTCTTTCTTTCCTTTAAGAGAGTAGAAAAGAATTTCAGGAAACACATTAGAGTCTCAAAACCTTTACCTTTCCAATTTTTTTTTTTTTTTTTTTAAACTACTTTTCTAGGATTGCCAATGCCACTCCAATCCCAGGAGATTTGCTGCGAGAAAACACAGATGAAGTGTTTCCTGATGAGCAGCTCAGTGATGGAGAGAATGGTATTCCAGTTGGTGTCTCACCAGAAAAATTGCCTGGATCCCCTGGGCATCAGCGTCCTCAGGAAAAAGACGTTTGGGAAGAAATGGATGCAAACAGAAACAAAATCAAACTAGGGATCTGTAAGGTACTTAGAAATCTGCATTGCAAAGGCCATCTTTGAACAGTTTCCTGTCCTCATAGTGCACATAAGATATAATTAATAATGCAGTTTTTACTAATATTAATTAGCCAGAATGGTCTAAGAAAACAAGATGTATGGTAGAGCTAATACATTTTATTAGAGTGATTTATATACTGGAACAAGCAGACAAGCTTTTGGGCCTTGTGTCACTTTATCAGGTCTTTATGATGAATAGTAGATTGCTGATAATTTGAGATTCTTTATAGTATATTCATGTTCTTCAGACATGATTTTGATTCTTGCTCACTGAAAGAAACCAAAGCAAATTTCCTGCATCTTGCATGTCTAGAAGTTAGATACTGAATATACAAAAAACAGTTTAATGCTATCCTTCAGCTGATAGATTAACAGTGTGATTGACAGTATCCATTTAATTCACTTGCTGTTTTCATCTCCATAGGATAAAAGAACTTTGTACTGATTCAGAGAGGTTCATGGGCTAGTCTTTAGAAGAGAATGTTGCTTAATTTTGAGAAGTGGTCTCAGAAGTGGTTCCTGTCTCCCTGTCTCACAATCACAGCAGTTCATACTCGGACAAATGGGCCTTGTTTCTTGATATAAAAATGTTTTGAACATGGAGAGGGATCTTTTGCTGAAATGTTCTTTAGCTAGGAGAGCTCTCTAGTTGAGGCTGTTACTCCTTGTTTACTAGAAAAAAATGTATTGTGGGAAAGAATGAGGCATGGTGCCTATTTTCAAATGTGCTTATTTGTTTTTTACCAAAGAGGTAGAAAGGAGGTTGTTCTGGTTTAAACCAAGGCAATTTCTATTAGTTATACCTGTTGAAACTAAGGATGATCATGATTTCCCATCTCTAAATCATGTCCAGTTAGTGTACAAGATGGAATGTGGTTGGACTAATACATAGTTCTAAGCCATAGAAATATCTAGTAGATTTAGTGTGTAACAGTGTCATATGGTCTAGAGAATCATAAAGACAGCTTGGAAGTTCACTTGTCTTTAATCAGAGCACTTGACTGTAGGGCAGACTGAAGATGTTACCAAGGGCTGGGTTTCAAGCTGTTCTTAAAGAAAATTTCAGAGATGAGTGTGAAATACCAGAGTAAATTTAAGTGTATTACTGGGGTTTTGAGACTCCTGTTCTCAGACCTGCCCAGAGCTAGTATATTACTAGTATTCTGTCTGTTGTAGGTGTGTGCTGAAGAGCATATCTAAACTACCTTAAGTATGGCATGAATTCCAAATACAAATTGGCTTATCACAGACTAAAAACCTGGATGGTATTCACCATGTAGTACCTTGTCTTCCTCTCTCTTGCCACACCTAGTGAGCCACATTTTTGCTTTATTTTTTTCACAGGCTGCCACAGAGGAAGAAAACAGCCATGGGCCAGTGAATGGAATGCTTAATGCGCCGAGTCTCGGTTCTCCAATTCGTGTTCGCTCTGAGACCACCCAGCTAGACAGAGATGTCCCACTGGTGCGAAAGTTACGTTCAATTCACAGCTTCGAACTGGAGAAGCGTCTGACCTTGGAGTCAAAGCCAGACACTGATAAATTTCTTGAGACCTGGTAAAGAAATTATTTTATTCCTATGCTTAGATTTTTTCAGGATACGTAGTTAAGATACTATCATCTTTCCTCTGCTGTGTGAAAACCAGGAATGGAGTTATGCTTGTGCAAGCTACAGCAGAGTATTTACTGTGTTCATAATACTGCTCAATTAGAGGATTTCACCACTTGGCAGCTTCTTTAAAAAAAGATTAGTGCTGGTATACAGCTAACGTTGGACTTCCACACTTGAGGATTTTTTTATTTCAAGAACTAGTGGTGTAACCCTGATGCTTATTACCTTTTTCTTCAGTGGGATACTCTTGACAGACAGTAGAACTCATCCTAAATAAGAAGGATGACATTTAGATGCTCAATAGAGGTAACATGGGATTAGATTATATGACATGAGGACAGTTTACAAGAAGTGGAGTTATGAAGTAAAATTAGAAATCTACGCGCATGCCGCAGGTCTAGTTATGCCCAAAGGTGTTGCAACAACATAAAGAAGTCTTGATAGAAGACAGAGGTCTTAAAATGGAATTTGAATGTAGGGAGGAGGCAGATGTTTGAGAACAGATTCGATCAATTTGCCGATGTGTAGAAAGAATAAGGGGAGAAGGACACAGTGAAATCTGACTGAAAAGCAGAGGCTGAGTGGGGACAGTAGAAGATAGTTGAGATGCTGACAGTGGCAAAATCCTTCTAAGTCATAGAGGGGCTAGGAATTTGCATCTGTTTGATGAAGCAAGTTGCGCAAAGCATAAATAAAGAATCAATTGAAACAATAACATTCTTCTTGAAAGCATCTACTTACTGCTGCTGGAGACATCTGTTTCTTCTGTTCTGCTTTGAGTCTCTGCTTAATTAAGTCTCTGCATAAATTAAGTACAGTGGACATCTGCTTGTAGCCTCACCACTGAGTTGGTATCCACTCAGTATTCTGCCTTCTGATAATTACAGTTAGAATACAATATGATACATTACAATTACACTTTAAATATGTACAGATTTTCAAGACCATCTGCCCATTTTTACTGACTCAGAGTTATTCGTCTGAAATTGTGGATCTTTCAACCATTGTAGATTGTTTTAAAATATGACAACAAGTTTTTATATGTCTAGTTTTCCTCTACTGAAAAACCTCAAATGTAGCTTGCATTATTTAATTGATTGTTAACTAATTCAGATATTACCTTCTTTTCTTAAGTTTGGAGAAGATGCAGAAAAACTTGAATGCTGCGTCAGAGACTCCTGTTGCTGCTGTTCCTCCTCTTTCTCAGAAAACACCCATTCCTGCCTCTGTGACTGCCCGCATGGACCATGTTTGGCACTATGATGAAGAATATCTTCCAGACCCTTCAAGGCCCGTGTCAGCTAGTTCTCCAGAACATGTTGATGGTGTTATTAGCAATGGATTTGTAGCTGTCAACTTAAGCTCCTGCAGGCAGGAGGTTGATTCTAAGGAATGGGTGATAATAGATAAGGAACGGGACTTGCAGGACTTCAGGATAAATGAGGCTTTAGGGCACAAAACGACTGGAAGTCCCTCAGATGAAGAGCCAGAGGTACTACAGGTTCTAGAGGAATCCGGTCCAGAAGAGCAGCCCAGACAGGGTGGTTGGGCAGGAAACAGTGTCCATGCCAAGAACCAAACCTCAGGGGTGGAGTTTGTTCTAGCCATGGAGTGTCATCCTGCTGCTTCCGAACAGCTTACAGATAAATTGGAACTTCTGTCTGGAGCTGCTGGACAGCTTCTTGCAGCCACCCCTACAAGTCCTATGGAAGCTCAAGCAGAAGGAGCACTCACTCCGGTAAGAGAAATGGTTGCTGTTTTATTGAATCGCTCTATTCAGAATTACATGAGGAGATAGTAAGGGAAAAGGCAGTGACTAAAATACAACAGTGTAGCAGAAATTCCTAGTTTCATCAGACATGGGACTTTGATTCTTGAGGAATGATCTTCCATGTTGTGTTATATGAGTGTTTAGATTCTCCCATGGAAGTGACTATTAGTTCTGCAGGTATGATTCACAGAACTGGCTTCAATAAAAAAATACAAAATAATTACATATATAAAAAAATATATATTTATATAAATAAGCTCCTTATGCAGTGATTCTTAATCAGTGAGATACACACATGGAAATATATATTTATTATATTTGCAGTGCATAAACATAAACTGACAATGAATATGTAAAGTACTGTGCTGCAATGTTTCATGTGTTTCAGGAAAAACCTAAATGGCTGAAATGAAAGAAACAGAGTTACTTCCTCTCATTGTCACTGATGTAGTGTTTTCTTTTGGAATTCCCTTTGTTTCTTCCTGTCTCTTATGAAATTTATAATGGTTTTTATACAAACCACTTGTTGGCTTTTATAAATTGTTGCTACTTCTCACTTCCAAGATAATTTTGCAACTTCTGTTTTGCTCCCAGAGTTTTCTCTTCACTAAAACAGATTGCTTTGCTTCCATTGCATCTTCTTTTTGTGTTTCTCCATCTTTTCTAAAGAATTCTCATTTGCACAGCTTTTGATCATTTACTTTTTTTTTCTCCTCTGTCACTGATTCTAAACAAGGAGTTCTTTGGCTTTACCTAAGGAGGAAGTGAGATTGATGGTTAAGTGATTGGGAATCAGCTCCTGGTTTTATTTCTCCCCTTTTCTCAGTAGATAATTTTGTCATCTGTGATATAAAGGGAAATTCTTTCAAGCTCCTTTGAGTCAAGAAACCTGGCTGTACTTCTCTCTCACTTATCACCACTTTTTGTGAAAGTTACAGCCGGCTCATTAGAAAAAGAAGCTTGTCACCAACCACTCATTTATTACAAGGTGTGGAATATCCTTTATGGTTAAAATGAACTATGCAATGTAGTTAACTATAGCTGTACAGTAAAATTTCAAATACACCTAGGTTCTCATGGAAAATGCAAGATTGTATCTTTCATACAAGATTATATTTAGATACCATACTTCGTGAATTATATAGTTTATAGAAGATTCATTTTGCGTGATTCAAAATACAGAACTGTGTTAAACAACAAGATTTTTGAGATGTAAGTTAAAATATTCATTGCATGAAAGTTTTTGATGGGTTAGAAACTTCTGAGGGTGAAAAAAAATAATTTAAATTGCTCAGTTGTTTTCAGTTGTTCAATTTTTGTATTTTAATGCTACTTTTAGTAAAACAGACAAGAGTGAGCAACACAGTCCTGTACAAAATACTGATTATCAGGTGTTTTTATTTCAAAAGCCATTAAAAAACAGCTTGCAATTTTGTATGCAAATGCACTATCCCAATTTATATAAACTTGGCTCTTTTGAGGGAACAGCTATTTCACTTAAAACTGAAAGTAGAGGTGATATAAATATCATGTACTACAGTGAAAATAATGGACAGTATCTTTATCTGGAAAAGAATAAGCTTCTGAGCATTGAAGCAGAAATAGTTATAAACAAGGTCAATTAATTATAAGATGTATGGAAGAAATATTGCTTGAAGGAGACACTGGAGTGAGATTATGTTTTAGTTCGGCTTTGCAAGTAGGTAAGGGATACTTGTCATGACCTCGAAAATGGGGGAAATTAATATGGTTTGTATTATCCTGGAAGGGCAGGTAGTACTGTGAGGGCAAGATGAATGGCAGGAAGGAACTTGCTGTTTTGAAGGTGAATCGTGTAATTGAAAATATAAACTCAACTGGGAATAAAGAAAATAGAAATTATTTGGCTGATTTAGAAATGGGGAACAGAGTGTGTCTATGCAGTGTGTCTATTCCAACTGTGATGGCAATATGTAGTAGTCCCCCACCTACTTCATTAGCCCTTGAAAGCCAAACAAAGCCCTGGAGGATATTTGGGGGCGAGTTGTTCTTTCTGTCCTTGGTTGGTGGTATTCCATTTTATAAAAGATACTTAAATATTCCTTGAGGTGGGTACTGCAACCTAGCTGTTCTTATAGGTGAGTGTCTTAATCACTTCACAGGGAGACAGTGTGTGTGTGTATATATATATATGTGTGTGCATATATATATATATATATATATATATATATATATATATATATATATATATATATATATATATATATGCCCCTTCCTACAGTAGTTCTCTCTGTTTGAGAGTCCTGGTGACCTTAGGGAACTGTTTGGTAGAGTCCTTTTCCTTCTTCTTCAAAGCATCTACCTGACTGAAACTGTTCTCTGAATGTGATCCTTTTTTGTGGGTCAGACGTTCTTGCTCTTTAGTAATTTTATCTAGATAGCACTTCCTGACAATACAAATAATGGGCAAAGGGTCATATTTTACTTTTTTGCTGATTTAATTATTTTGCACCAGTTAATAAGAGCCAGCTTGGATCCAAGAATGTAAATTTAGGGCCATAAATCAAATTACTGAAGTGTTACTAAAAGGGGTTAAAAATAGGTGCTGAAATTATAGTAGTATAATAGCTTAATATAATTTCTGAAACAGTTTACCCATTTCAAACAGCTTGAAACTCTAGGATGTGTTGGTGTTCACAGTCATTGTGCTTATGAATATACCTCCCATATGGATTTTTAGTGACCTGCTTCACTGTCAATTAGGAGAAAGTATGATGAATTATTTTATTTGAGTTTATTCTGATAGGCTTGTTAAATATGAAGCAATTACTTCAGTGATGAATGAATAAAATAGTTTTCCTGGTTTATGTATTTTTCTATTTTTAATTTTTAGTTTGATTCTTCTGTATTCTTTATTTCTTTCAGGGCTTTATTGCTCACTGTCTAAAGTAAGTAGTAGCAAGGATGTTTCTGTATGAGAAACTAAATGTTCATATACTCACCCATAATTTTATTTTCTCCTGAACAAAAGAAATTGCTGGTCTGCAGTCCTTCCATTTGTAGATAAATATTCTTCCTGACATTGTGTGTATACATGGACTTCTTGTAATTAATGATGATACACTAACCTATTTCACACAGCAGCAACACTCTAATAAGAATGTAAAGTTGTAGCAGTTGAGGAAGGAAATCAGAACTCAAAAAATGTGAGAGAAAAATGTGTAAGTTATTGGCTTGGGGATGAGCAAGTTTCTGGCATAAAAAAATATAGCAAATTTATGCTATTATGAAAAAAACCCTGCAGGTAAGAGAACTAATTTACATGTTAATCAGTCATGGTTTTCCAGTTGCAATACAGATTCTGTGTGCTACCAGCAAATACCAGTTTGATCTGACTCAGTCAGGGACACATGGTCACATTTCTGTTGAACTATTCAGAGCATGCAAGCGTATATATGCTGCCTTTATGCTTTCATGATGGCTTTATGTTGACTTTGGCTGCAGGAGGACAGGTAGTATCTGATTTGCTGTATTATCTGCTGATATTAAGTTTATCTGTCAAAAGTACTTGAACTGATCTAGACCAATGGTGAATTTATACTGGAGCGACACTTGGCACCATGTATGATGTTCTCTAGTTTTCTTTTCCTTGATCTCGTACTAAGAGTGTAAAGCTAAACTTCCTGTGTTATTGAACCATTGCCTCATTAATTTATTGTGTTTGTACTGAATTGCAATGACCTCCATACAGTGCATGCATGCACAAAACTTTGCAAGATATATTTGTCCAGCAGATATTTCAGCAAAGAAATAATAATGGAGATGAAGTAACTGAATATGTATCAACTAATTCCAATTTCATCTTCAGTTTAAATAAAACAACAGTTTGCTCTGGTCACACTTGGTTGACAACCTAAAACCATATATGGGGGGTGTGTGTGAGTATGTATATGTATATGTATATATATATATATGCATGGTTATAGAAGAGGTTTGACTGTGTGAATCTGTTATTTAGAAATACTGCTGAAATTAGTCTTTTGTACATTGAAGTAATACTACATTTTATCAAAAACCTGCTCTTAAATTTCCATTTATTTCTGAGTTCTAAGTAATTTAATTTTCATGTACCTTCTATCCTAAGTTGCTGTTTTTACCAGGTGCTGGAAATATTTTTTTTCCAGTTGAGAGACAGCTGTGTGTTATGAGAACTGAAGCTTTAGGATTGACACAAAATACCTTTTCCTTGGAAACGGAAATGCTTGATAGGTGCTCCCTGTTTCCAAGAAATACAGGTTAAAATTGCAAATACCATGGTAGGAAACATAAAATCACAAAGCTTGCAAAAAGTTTCCATATCTCTACTCTTCATAGTTTTGTCTAAATGTACTTGAAACAAAGAATTGCAAAGTGTATATAGCAATCTCATTTACAGGTACACAGATGTGTCACCATCAGATATTTATTCAGCACTGGGAAGGGTCTTGCAAAGAATCAGTTGATTTCAGAGTTGTATGTCAAAGCTATAGGTTTATTGAAATCATCAATAACCAATTTGAAAATCTACTTTCTCTAAAATTATTAGTTTGGAACACTTTGACTTTAAAGTTCCTGGTTGGTTGTTTTTTGGGGTTTGTTTGTTTCCCCTCTCTCCCCACCTCTTTTTTAAATACTTGAGTGATGTAGTTTAAGATGAAACAATTGTTCATGCATTTTCCAGGCCAACATATTCTTCTAGTTCAATCCCATGTTTGGGAAATTTTGTCAAAATTGTTTAGTACTAATCTTACTGATTATTCCTGTTAGCTGCGGTTCTTAATATATGCTGCTATAGCCATAGCTGTACAGTCACATTTGTAAAGCCTGCAATGGGTGTATATGCTAAAAATATCATCATCTTGGAAAACAGTGTTGTTGCTTGGATGTGCTAAGCATTTACAAGGACCAGTCAACCGTCAACTAGTTTGTGTACATAATGTCCTTGGAACAGACTGTGTTAGTTTATTATATTTGCCCTAGATTGTTATTGTCTGACTGACTGAAGGTAGGAGCCTGCTAGAGAAAGGATGCTCACTTTATGATTTTGATACTGGATTTTTAAAAATTGCTGGAAAATGTGAAGATTAGATTTAAGATACCTCTTAAATTATCAGCTTTTAGCCTGTGAGGGAGTTGTGAATATGGCCTTCTAAGAAAATGCCACATGGGCAAGACATAAACAAGAATTATTAAAATATTGATTTTTTAAAACTTTATTTTCTTCCCCGCCATGTTGTTCTCACAGCTCAACTCATCTCATATGCTGCATTTCTCCACTCCAAGAATTTCAAGTCCCATCCTCCGCACCATGAGCCCTATAGCCTATCTATCCATCCACTCGGACCCCCTGAAAGAGGCTGGTTTGCCAAGGAGTCAGTCAGCAGAGAGCCACTCCTCTTCCTCCCGCTCAACTGGTCGTAGGCAGCTTCCTGTCATTCCCTGTGGCAACAAGTTCCCCCCTGTCATTCGCATCTCAAAAGCACAACTGCAGCAGGTGAATAAGCCTTGTCTTCATAAAAGTGACTGCATTGTAGCAGTCATCTGCAAAGTTTAACATTTTTAGTTGCTCTGCACAGTCTGGTAGTAGGCATATGCTAGTCATACTGCTATACGCAACATCCTAAAAAATATTTTGAAAGATCAAGTTAGGGAATAAGAACGGATCCTGTTCAGGAACAGAGACAGAAATACTCTGAGGCATATATAGTGTCCCACTTAAAAGAGGTAAAATTAGAGAGAGGAATATTTAAAGAGCTGTTATTCAGGTTATGATCTGGAGCACCAAGCATCTCTGGATGTTCTGGAAGATACATTGAATTCCTCAAAGGGATTTTCTCTTGAAAAAGGTAGGATTATAAAATCTAGAAAACAGATTTTTGCTTTGTTCAAAGCTATGATTAAAATCTTTTTTAATATGTTTCTATAATCAGTACTGGGTAGATTTTGAATTGGGAACACATATGAAAATTTGAACTACCTTAAATTATTTTAATGTGAGAAAAAGGGATCTAGTCAAATTGCTGCTTTGGGAATGAACAAATAATGAATTGTTCCACTGCTTGCAGTATACAAAGCAAAGATGGGTATTATCAGGGGTATTATGATTAGTTATCCATAGCTAATGGAAAATGTCACTAGGGGAAGAGGAGTTTTTCATAGTTTGGTATTCCCAGTTTCATTCAGTATGAAAAAGATGAAGGCTTAGAATCATAATTGAAGTTAACCATAATTTGTGTATTAGTCACAAAAATATTGAGATTTGCTGAGCAGCATGAGCTTGCATTGACTGGTAAAGCAGTATGACGTAGCATTAATGCGTAAGACCGTAACATGTCATCATCATTTTACCATTAATATTTCATTTGGGTTATATTTTGTGTTGCCTTTTATTTCCAATGTATTTTTCAGTATTAATATTTCTGTGTGAAAGACTTATTTTTTTTTCCAGTGAAGCATGCACAGGAGTATTGATATTAAAAGTAATCCATCAACATTAGCTTCTTTCAAACTTCCATAGGATCAGTGGTGAGTGATAACATGGCAAACAAAGTAGCTAGTGTACTTACGTCAGCATTTTGTCTGTTATCTCAAAAAGTAGTGTTTTTTCCTGCAGCTCCTGGCTGCTTTTTATCTGAATATAAAAAAACAGGTCTGGCCTCGATGTATGGAAATGGACATGCGGTAGCTCCCAGATGTTCGTTATTGTGAACTTGATAGAATATCTAAATACCACATTCTTCTCTATGACTGATGTATTGGCTAGGAAAAGGTACTAAGGAGCAATTAACTCATTAAAAGTTAAGCTTCAGTATTTTTAAGGATTAGTTTGTATCCCAGGATGCAAAATGGCCTAATTTTTTTGCCTGTATGTCTACAATTTAAATTTTCTAATCAGAATGTATCGCCGGTATAATTAGCAAACTGCTCACAATACTCAAAGAAAGTAGGTTGGCACAGCAGATCTTCTCTGGCTTCCCTAGTACCCAACAAATGAATACAGCTGCAATATTAATAGGGGTGCAAAGTGATACACTTTCTTGTCATGTGAAAAAGAAATGATATTGTGCCAGGTGTGGCTACTGAGTGGAGTGAGGATTATATGTAGCATTCTCAGCCTCTTCTTTTTGCCTGGTAAGTCCATGACTGCTGTGTTCCTTTTCAAGCTGTGATTTTGAAAGTCCTGGCTCAGTTGAGAATTTAACTTCCAGTTTTTCATTTGCTATGGAAACTACAAGCATGTGATTTTTTTAGTTCATTCCAACAATGAAGGCCTCATGTACTTTATGGCTCACTGAAGAACTGAAATACTTCTGCAAGTGCTTTTCTTTTCTACAGTGCAGTAATATTAGGTCCTTAGCAAGCTAGAAGCTCCAGCAGCATCAAAGATGTATATGCATAGTAATAACCTAAAGCTTTTCTCTAGTTAAATATTAAAAAGAATTTTGATGTCATCCTATATTATTGTCTCTGAATATTTGGTACTGAATATATTTTTGTGTATTTCCTGCTGTTTACAATTTGATTCAGCATTCATAACTGATGAATTGCAGAAGTCAGGGAGTCTGTGCTGTTGAATTTAGTTTCACGTATTAAAAAAATAAAAATTTATATGTTTGTTCCTGAAATCAAGTAAAGGGATTTTCTTTCCTGATTTTTGATGAGTGAGGGTTCAGGAACTGTAACCCACCTTCATCTAGTTTGTCATCAGGTAGGGGCGGTCATGAAATTTCTGTATATTCTCTGCTCACTAGTGCAGAGAGGGTATAGGGTGTAGATCTACCTTTATTTGTTTGATAAAGAGAACTCCTCTTTTGCCATACATGTATTACGGAAGAGAATTGGAGTATTTTACTTCAATTTATTCAACAGTTATTCAACTTGCAGCATAAAGAGCCTGGCAGCATGTGAGCTGACAAAAACCAGAATCAGTTCTTTGACTGTACTTGAATCTGAAGAGTGGGGCTAGAGTGCTATTAGCATCCTTTTCTTCTATACCATGGTCAAAATGTACAGCAAATCTTCTTGAAGCATAACCCTTTTCTGTCTTTCTGTGAATTTTTCAGCCAGATAAGTTCTCTGAACTCTGCTCATTAGACGACTGCATAGAGTGCTGTGTGAGGTTAATGGAAAAGGAGATGAGTGCAGCAACTACTGGCCAGGGCTCGCTCTGAAGAGATTGCTTAGGTAGACACTGTGCTAAATGTGTAACTGTGTCTTAAAAAAAAATCAAGATCAGTGACCTCAGATTTTGATCTCTATGGTGTTTCAGCTCTAGTTCTTCAATAAGATAGTGAACACCTCTTCTAGCCATAGCAGCTCTCTAGAATACTCCTAAACTGGCTGCTATACACTAAGATTCAGCCCTTAGCAAAGGTGGATTCCAATTTTGTGTGTCATTCTGGCATATTTTCATTTTTTTATATGCTTAATGAGACATGTACAAGGGGGCTAATTTTAATTTAATGATTTTGTGTTTATTCATTGTGTTAGGGAAGGATAATCTGTGTCTCTCAGGTTAAGCAATTGGAATTAGTTGGCACTTATACAAATATTTTTTTCTTATGCCTTAATTTTCACAAATTTTTACCTTACTGGAACATTTTAAAAATTATTTTATAGTTACATAGTTTTATTATTAGTTACAAAACGCTCTGAAATCTTCCCACACAAGATGCTATGGAAATGCAAACCATCATATTCATATTCATATCCAAGATGAGAAATAATATACTGATCTGAGTTGAAAAATTTACCTTAATTTTTAAGCATCTCACTGGAATTCAGGGACCTATGGAAGAATAAGGTAAGACTTCTTGACATGTTCAAGGGGTATTTAGAGAAAGAATGCATATCCCTTATAATTGTTATTTTATTTTGGATGTTATAGGTTTATGAGCCAGAAGTGCACGTTAATGTTGTGAATGTTGCCATTTTTTATAAACTAATTTTGGCAGGTTTCACTAGTCTGCAATAGCAAGAGATGAACTTTTACATTGGTTTTCACATTTAACAATCTCTTTTAGAACCACAAATAAACCAACAAAACCCCAGAGATTCTCCTTTCTTGTTACAGTGCTCTTTGAAAATCAGTTTTAATTTACCAGTGGCATTAACTTGAAGTTGTCATGTACATTAGGATTGCCTTAGAACTCAGCTAGTTAAAACTGGTTTAGCATTGTACCTATTAATTAAAAATGTAAGGAATGGATATATTTGTCCAAAATTCATGGACATGGTACATAATCGAATAGATGTGTCCTGAAAGGAGAAGAGGGAAAAGCTTTCCTCTGTTCAGCAAGTCTATTCTCTTTTTTTGTTTGTTTGTTTTTTTTTTTTTTTTTTTTACTGCTGCCATGGTTTAAAGTTAGCTATAGCAAAAAGGGTTCTGATTTCAGGGCTTACATAATTGCTATGCCCCCCTGTTCCCTATCCTGATGGACCTATATTGAGTCAGCATGAGATTTAAGTTAGGTTTTTCCAAAGAGGCTGCTAATACCACTTACAACATTGGGTTTAACCAGGGTAGAAATTTCAAGGAATTAGTCCAGCTCATAGCTACTGGAACTGCTTCATACACAGTAGACTTGATTTTGTTAAGTAAGGAGAATGTGCAAGTTAGACCGTCTCATTCAACACAGGATAGCTGTTAATAACATGATTTTTCAAGAAATTTTAGCCTGAAAAGTAAGTTCCTATGAAGTTACAGCCTTCACTTATCATCAGTGAAAGTAAGTGATAATGCTTATGACCAGATTCAAAGGCTAGCTCAGATTTAGAATTCTTACTGTTTTCAGTTGTTACTGTTAGGTTCTTGACAGGCATTCAACATATGATCACTGCTACAGTGTCATTATTTTCTTCTTTAGTAGGTTTCTCTGGAGTATGTCAATTTTTCATACAGAAACACATAGGATGAGAAATATCAGGAAGCATTATTTTAGAAGAAAAAAGAGAATGCCTGGAAGACGCACATAAGCTCATAGGTTACTCCCATTCTTTTAAGCAACTGGTTTTTATATTGATAATGATGTTGCTTGAACAGTTTTCATCTGCTCACTGTCATTCTAGTGCAAACAAGTAAAAAGTTTTATTTGTTGCTTTTATCCAAGTGGCAGAGGCAATTGCTTGATACATAGAAATCTATATGCAGCCTCCAAGGCTTAGTAGGGTCGTGTGTCTGAAGGAGAGAAATTCGTCAGGTGTGCTTTTTTCACATCTGCCTTTGGTGTAAAGAAGAATTAAAAATTACAGCATGTTAGGTTAGCTTTTCTTTCAATGGAATCTTTTCAAGTTGTAAATTAAGAAATTAATAGTTGAGGACAAGCAGTCAGTATGAATGTTTTAATTTTTTTCAAACAATGTGTTGCCTGTAGAGAACACATCCATTTTTAGTGATAGAACCCTCTCAGCCATTCTCCTTCTGCAGGTTTCTCTATCAGAAGCAGCAGAAAAGTCATAGTGAAGGTCAGGACAATAAATTAGCCTTGGTAATAC